CTGATCTTTCAAACTGTTTAAGGTTTACATTTGCTAGGAGAAATGGGGTTAGTAGTAAAATATTTTTATATGTATTTTTATTTTATTTTAAGCACTATGAAGAAATATTAATTCAGTGAAACCATAAATAATTTTTAATGACTTTGTAATAGCGTGGACAATATCTAGGATTTGTATGTTAATTAAAAAAAATAGTACAGGGTATAAAATTATATATGTGTATATATGTGTATGTATGAATGTATATATACTTAGATTAAGAAACAAATTACTCACATTCCTGTAATATAAAGGTCCATTGCTATTTTCAGAAGTGACCTATTTTCTCTGTACATAAGTAAGCCCATAAGTATGAAATCTCACACCTGTACAGGATGAAATGTATTAATGAAAAAGGTTGGATCTTACTGATGCTGGGAAGACTATAGATCTGATTCTTACAATGATTGTATGACCAGGGATGAGTTAGATTTTTTCCTTTTGCCTTTGCTCAAAGTCATAAATAAATATATATAAAATATTATTAATAAATTGAAGAAAATACATAAAAAATAAACCCATTAATATTTTTTGGTTCCAGTATCTTTATAAGTGAGCAAGTTTTGCTTTACTATTAAAGAAGAACTGTTTGCTTTTCTCTTTTCTTTGTTCTGAGCCCCAGAAATTATATGCACTAAGTATGGGAAGGTGGGGAAAAAATGCCTGAGTAATTATGTGCACAGTAGGAAAAAGAGGGCGTAGAAATTCAAGGATACTACCTGATTTACTCAAGCAATTCCTAAGCAATATTTCCCCTGTAGATTAGAGGAATTCATTGCGCTAAAAAACATTTTCCCCACAAAACTCTCATTTAAGCCATTACCACTAACCTGTAATATTTCTTGAGTACAAATATTTCAAACTGGTTTACTTATATATAAAATTTTAGATATCCTGTGGAAGAATCCCAAGTAGTTGTTAGTGTAACTTAAGAAAACTATATTCTATCATATGTTCACTTTATCTTACTATGTGTGCCAGTCCCAGATGATGTACTTCTGAATTTGTGTATAATAGTTGAGATTTCAAGGGAACATTGGTGTGGAAGTAGTGTTCATTAATTACATTTTAGGTCACTGTAAATGAAAAAGCGTAGTCCATTCAAACCAATAGTAGATTTTTTTGCATTAACTTCAGTAGGATATATAATCCTAGACTGATAAACTGTGATTTTAAGCAAACAGGAGTAGTCGTATTTTCAAATTGCATCCTAAAGTGTATTGTGATTTCTTTTAAGTGGCATTTAATTAATTTTTTATTTTGCATTACTAAGATATAACTCCAGTCCAATTGTAGTCAATGAAATGATTTCCAAAAGGACCAGCATTGTACTTGAACCTTCTTGTCTAGCAGCAAAATTCTGTCCTCCTGTCTACATTTGACCATTGCACAGGGTATACTTTGCTGTTTTGGTCCAGCCTTATTATTTCATACATATTTGTGTACAGAACCAAAAGAAACAAAGGGTTGTTTTTAAGTGATATTTCATATCAATATATATATCTATATGTACCTACACACCAATGTATATATTTTTAAAAGTCTGTCCATTTCTAATATCTATTTCTACCTCAGTTTAATTTCTATCTTACCTTAATTTTCATTTAAAAAGCAGCAGCAGAACTAGAATCAAAGTAAATTTTATTTTAAACAGCAAACTTTCATGTCTTGATGCATGTCATTAAGATTTAAGCTTAATATTTCTATTTTTGAAAATTACTCATGTGAGTTCTCACACTGACTTTAGTATGCCTATCCATGTGAGTTCCTTTCTGCTTTATAGGTGACATTGTCCAGTGAAGAAAAATGTTTTGTTTTAAAAATAAGATGTTGGATTTTTATACAAACCCGCAATTCAACTGCTCTGGGAATATGCAGAGCATAATGTATATTACTAATATACATTAGTAATTTCTGCTGTTCCAAAGTCCTCTGTTCACACAAGAAATGTTACAAGATGATAGGAACAGAAAGTGTTTGTTTAGAAATCATGGGTCTGAGCTAAAAGCATTAGCTGGTACATTCTAGGACACGTTATAAGAATTGGGTGTGCACAATTTATTCTTTAGCAGATTTGGCCTTTCTCCTCCCATCTTTTTTTTGAGCAGGGAAGAGTAAGAGCATTAAAATTGCCCTAGACCATATCCCAGTGCTCCTTTGCATACTTAGCAATTTGAATCACCTACTTGATTGGTGTGATGGGTCATACAGCCAGATAGCATAATTTCTGGTCCATGATTACATTTCCCTCACCTCTGTGAACACATGCAATATCTTAACATGCAATATCTTAAGAACTTATGGCAGCACTGAATTTTTCAGGTCAAGATATGGGAACATTTAGAAAGAGAAACACAGTGATAGTAGACAAGCAGAGTATCCAGCTAAATGAATTGATTTTAAATCTACCTGTGTATATTTACCAGCTACATTAGATGATTTAAGATGTACACCATGGCTAAGCTGATCCTTGGCCTATGAATTGAAAGACTCAAGCACACATTTGAACTGAAAGTAAATTTTGCCCCATCCTTGAAACTGTTCCAGATATGTGATGTTATTTCACCTGCTTGCAGAAGATACCATATTTCTTACTATTCTCCAGTTTTACATGTCAGATTTGTAGTATGGTTCCCCCTACACTCTGCTTTGAAGACAATCTGCAGCACTGAGTTAGTTCTTGCTGAAAGGTCAGTGGCAAATTTGGATCAAGTAGAACTGCAGACCAAAAGAAAAGGGTAGATGCCAAATGCCAAGTCTACAACCAGTCCAAATTAGCCTGTGCATGAAAGGGAAGCAGGTACTTGACCCATTTCTCTGGAAAGTCTGCAGACACCTGCAGGGATTCTGATACTGAACCATGGGTCTCAACAAACCCGAGGTCCAATCCAAAAATGCATATCCAATGTCAGCTACTTCTGAACTCCACAGTTACTGAAAAGTTTACATAGACACAGGCGATAGTTATTATAGTATTAGCAAAGCATCTTATCTGTCTTCTATTTAATGACTACTTTACTCTTTATAGGTTC